CGTGACACAAGCTCGGCCCATTGGCTATTTATTTGTAAATCGTGCTCTTAACATGATCCGGTTGTGATCGTGCTTTCTCGTGCTTTTATTGTGCTTTTGTGGTGCCTACTAACAAATATAATAACCACTAAATCTTAACCCAAAAAAAGATTACATCATTAATAACAAAAAATGGCATCATTACTAATATTGCCAAACAAGAGCAATTTTGAATAACATCTGGGTAAAGAAAAATAATTCAATTATAAGTCTTATAAAAAGTTTATAAAAAAAGTACATAATTAAATAAAAGAGTTAGCTCAATTTAAATATGACAATTCATGCTCAAATTGTGCTTGTAATTTGCTGCGCATCACACTTTTAATGTGCTCATGTTATGCCGTGTTGAGACATTAGCATGCTTTGTGTTTAAACATTATGTCAAATTTAACCCATTCAATAAACTAGACTAATATAATTATCGTATCATGCCATGTTGTATTAACCTTTTAGCGTGCCGTGCTTGTACCAACATGCTAAGCTCGGCTCGTTTCGACATTTCCACACAACTTTTTACTCAGTAGTTGTCCTTGGCACACCACACCAACAAATCAACTACCTGAACATGTAAAGATGTCAGAGTGTCACATCGGTACAACATTAAGGCCTCGTTCGTTTCGATGATTCGAGTTTAAAATTTGAGTTTTGCTACAGTAAAAAGCTCTCACAAACAATCACATTTAACTTTTTTGTTACAGTAAAAGGCTCTCACATATAATCACATCTCAACTCAAATTCTAAACTCGAATCATCGAAACGAACGAGGCCTAAGTGCAAACCAAAACTTCCCTTAAGAACAAGGCTTGTTCGTGGAGAAAAAGTTCCACCAAAATGTATCTATAAATAAAAAGGAACTTCTCTGATGCGAAGGTCCTTTTAGGACTATGGGGACGACTTATAAAAGTTGGTGTTGACTCAATTCTTATTTGGTATTAGACTGTCGGTCCGGAGTCGGCTATTACAGGATCCTACTTGTTGTGCCAGCTGTCTTTCTTTTATTTTGCAATTAAAAATACAAGATAGCTGAAAGGTTGTTTCGTTTCCTTTCTTTCCTTCGTATTGTCTATTGTGCTTGCTTCTTTTTTTTTGTTTTTGGCACCCGCTCTGCTTTCTTTTTGGCCCGGTTTGGTAATGCTTTTTCAACAGTCGGAAGTAATTCTTTATTAAGTTTTGGGTTAAATTACATTTGGTAAAAAGTGTTGTGTAGTTTGAGGGTTTTCACAACAAAAGCCGAAAGTCGGTGGAAGATTGCTTCTGCTTATGATTCACGCGAAAAGCTGTGTGATCCTTTTAATGAATTTTTTTTGAAACTTAAATTACCCTTATTTAATTATCACAATTCCATTAAAGACTCTTATTAGAGTCATCACCTTTCTCTCATTATTCTCTCTGTTCTTTTTCTGTTCTCTCTCTGTTTTTTTTTTAAATTAAATGAGTATTTTTTAATAATAAATAAAATTATACATATTTAAATTTTATATCATATTTATTTTAATTATTTTAACTATTTATAATAATTTAATTTAATAATTTATCAAACGTTATTACGTTATTTTTAAAACTAACAATACTTATATAATAACAGTTTATTAAATACTAAATTATTTTTTATAACAATTATTTTTTTTAACACAGTTAATATTAATTTTTTTTAAAATTTACAATACTACTAAACTGATCGACCCATAATCAATTGTTTCAAAATGCCTTTTTATATAAAAAACGCATTCTGATATATAAAAAAAATTTAAATATACCTCCTCCATCTAAATCTAAATCTGTCTATAATCTAAACGTTGCAGTCATTTTAAAATTACAAACTAAATTAAACCGGCAGAAAAAGATTAATTATCCAAAAATATCAATCAAACTCGTTATTGAAAAAACATCTCTGTACCACTCGCTTTTTTTTTTTTTTTTCAATCAAAACAATCAGATTTTCTTTATTGTGATTTATGCCGATATTTTACATATTTTAATTTTGCCCTCTCAGAGAAAGCGGAGCAAGTAAGTCGTTTACAAGGAAGAAGGGTAGTGAATGCTAGTCTTTCATTATCTTCACCAACTCAAGCTCTGCGCCAAACGCCAAACCACTTCATCCACAATCAAAAAACTCCATGCCCAACTCATCAAAACCGGCATTGCCCAACACGAACCATTCCCCAACACCCTTCTTGATGCGTACGCAAAATGCGGTTTCCTCAACAACGCCCGCCAACTGTTCGATGAAATGCCCCAAAGAGACCTCGTTTCTTGGGCTTCGCTCCTCACCACTTACAACCATTCCGACCTTCCCCGCAGAACTCTCTTTACATTCCATTCCATGTTCGCAGTCGACGGATTGCGACCCGACCATTTCGTGTTCGCAAGCCTTGTCAAAGCGTGTGCCTTCTTAGGTGACACTAGGCTAGGGAAGCAAGTGCACGCCCGCTTTGCGTTGTCGTCGTTTTGTGACGACAATGTTGTTAAGTCCTCATTGGTCGACATGTACGCAAAATGTGGATTGCCTGATGATGCATATGCTGTGTTTTGTTCTATTTGTTTGAAAAATTCGGCTGCTTGGACAGCCATGATTTCGGCGTATGCGCGGAGTGGAAGGAAAGCGGATGCTATTGGATTGTTCCAGCAGGCACCCTTCAGGAATTTGTTTTCGTGGACGGTTTTGATTTCAGGGTTGGTGCAGAGTGGGAATGGTATTGATGCTTTTCGTTTGTTTATTAAGATGCAAAGAGAAAATATTGATATTATAGACCCTTTAGTTCTTTCAAGCATTGTGGGTGCTTGTGCTAATTTGGCAGTCCTAGAACTTGGTAAGCAAGTACATTGCCTGATTATAGCTCTTGGTTATGAGTCTTGCTTATATATAAGTAACGTGCTAGTGGATATGTATGCGAAATGTAGTGATATCACGGCTGCAAATGAGATTTTCGGGAGAATTAAACATAGAGATGTGGTTTCTTGGACATCGATGATTGTAGGGGCGGCTCAGCATGGTCAAGCCAAGGAAGCATTGGCCTTGTATGACCGGATGGTCGAAGATGGAATAAAGCCCAATGAGGTTACCTTTGTTGGATTGCTTTATGCTTGCAGCCATGTCGGGTTAGTAGACAGAGGACGCACAATTTTCAAATCCATGGTCGAGGACTATGGTTTTAGACCCTCCCTTCAGCACTACACCTGCTTCGTGGATCTCCTTAGTCGATCTGGGCACCTTAATGAGGCTGAGAATGTTGTAAATTCGATCCCTTTCGAGCTTGATGAGGCCATATGGGCTGCGTTGTTGACTGCTTGCAAGGATCGGGGACATACCCAGATGGGAATTAGGATAGCTGATCATCTTTTGAGTTTGAAAATAGAAAATCCTTCTACCTATGTACTTTTATCAAATGTCTATGCCGGTGCTTGTATGTGGGAAAATGTTTCAAAGGTGAGAAAGTTGATGACAACTATGGAAGTTAAGAAGAAACCGGGCTATAGCTCCGTTGAGTTTGGTAAGGAAACACAAGTTTTTTATGCCGGAGAAACATCTCATCCCTTGAAGGATGAGATTTTTAATTTACTTAGAGAGCTAGATGCCGAGATGAGGAGACGGGGTTATGTTCCCGACACTAGCTCGGTTTTACATGACATGGAGCAGCAAGAAAAGGAAAGACAACTCTTTTGGCACAGTGAGAGGTTGGCTGTGGCTTTTGGGCTGCTCAAGGCGGTTCCCAGGACCATTATCTGAATAGTGAAAAATCTTCGGGTTTGTGGAGATTGTCATACTGTGCTGAAACTCATAAGCAGTATTGTGGAAAGGGAAATTGTTGTAAGAGACGCCAATAGATACCATCACTTTAAGGAAGGAAAATGCTCATGTAACGATTTTTGGTGATGCTGAAGAGGATTAAAAAGTACCATCAAAGATTTTTCTTGTCTGCTGAGGATGATTGTTTTTACCCTTCTATGAAAGTAGATTCAATATTTTAAGTGCTTAAACCTTAAGTTTGATTAATTCATGTTTGTTTTCTGAGGAATTATTCAAACTCTTGGTCTCTTACAAGCATTGAAAAGAAGATATTTGTTTGCCCATCATGGCCGTCCAATCACACCAACTTATAATTGTTAGATCCAATTATCTATTTGTGTTGTGAGAGAATAAAACTTTCATGTGACAATGATCAAATATATGCATATTGTCAACAAAGTTTTAGATATTTCTAAGGTTTATTTTGGCATTTCGTTTAGACCTAATGAATGCTTTATTTGCAGCTACAATTCATTGCACGAGATTCATTTTTGAGGTTGTCTCGAACTATACAGAGATGGTTTTTTTTTTTTTTTTTTTCTCTTTAGTTTTTGCATTTGTTATTGTTATTGTTTTTTTTTTCTTTTGTTTTTGTTTTTATTTATTTGTTTGTTTTCTATTAGATGTTTAATAATTGTGCCCTTAAATGAGATTAGTCAATAGTCATTGTGAGAAATACTATTGTATTATAGTTTCTTATTTTTTTCTTCTGTTTTTATTAACTGCAAAATACAATATTTTAAAAATTAATAATAATAATTAAAGAGGCTGGAAATTTATATTGGTGTTGTTGATGCTGGTAGGAACTCAATTTTTTATTTTGGTGGGAAAATTTGTGTATGTAAAAGTAAAAATAATTACATGAAAAGGTAATAAAAATGTTTAAATATGAAGTAGACCGTGTTGGGAATGATGTCTTTAAAACATGAGATGTAATAAGGATATGTTATTATTTGATTAATAAAATAGTTTATTCATTATTTATATGCATGTATTATTGAATACTTTATGAATATCATTGAAAATTCTGTGATTATTTATGTAACCTTAAATATTGTATATAAGTGTTATGTACGAGCGGATAATATTTAAGGATAATAATCGAAACGATGTTTGTAATGAATTTAATTAAAGTTACAGAATTTTTAAATAAAACATTGCAAATACATATTATTCCCATTAAGAATAGAATGGTGTTATCTACATCATTAATATAGAGAGATATTGAATGAGTGTATTATGCATAATGAGATTATGTAGAATTAGGACACGAACACAATTTAATTTTTTAATAATTTCCGTTTAATATAGAAAATTAAATTCTAGTCTATCGATGGTGTCACAACCCTTAACAGGGATTAGTAATGTGGAAGCTTGTCCTTGGCGTTGGTTCTCAGAGGGATTAATATCCCATCCTTTTTGTAGTCCCCAAGGGATGGAAGGCCAAGGGAGCCCAGCGTACAAAGTCTGAGAAAACAAAAAGAAAAATAAAGGAGAAGCATTAATAAGGCTTTATGCCATTTTTGTGAAAAAAAAGGAGAGCTAGCACGTTCTGGGAAATACAGAGAGCAAGAAAGAAGAAGAAAAAAGTGAGCTATGTCCAGAGAGAGATTTTTCCAACCTTCTTCACCTTGCGGAACGTACCTAAAGGAGGAAAGGAGGAGCACAAGGATTCAAACTCTATTCAGCTAAACTTTCTTTTACTTTCTCCTACTCCCTATAATCTTTAATTTTTCTCTGATTTGCTATTTGTTGAACAATGGAATGTATTGAGCAATTGGATTTTTTGAATTCAGTTATGAGCTAAGTTGTGTTTCTCTAGGATTCTTAATGGAACCAAGATTGTAAGAAAGATGGTTTGTTTATGGAATGTTTTCTCACTTTATTCCTGTTCATCTATGTCTGTTGATTAATTATTTCTATTTTTGACTGGCCATTAATTATAGGATATTAGACTGAGATTAATACTGAAAAAGTTAATTTTAGTTGGATCTAACATAGACCATGCAAGTTCAATATTCTTGTTTAAGTTTGTTGATTTGTGAATGGTATAAGAATATATTGTTCATCTTGCATAACCCAGAGAAACCAAAGCCGAAATTTACATTCTGATAACCAGAGCTAAAGGAATAGGTTCAATTCAAGCGATCAAGCAATCATTCAAGCCTAAGCGCCAAATCGACATAGTGGAGTTTTCTTTAAACCTTTCCTTAAGTTTTTGATTGCCTACACATTGAGGATATTGTGCTTGATAAGTTTGTGGGGAAACTTTGTTTGTTTGTTTTTGCATCTTTTAAAAAAAAAAAAAAATTTGAGTCTTATGTTTTCTTGATGTTTGGTGTGTTTTTGTGGTGAATTCTCTTGGACCCATAATGAATGGGATTGGATTGAGCATAGCTTTTAGAAAAGGATGATTTCAACTTAGTTTTGTTCTTAGATTCAATTGATTGTCTTATTCAAAGATTGTGATTTTCTTCATTTGAGCACTTAGCCTAGTGTTATTTATTCATTGAATTTCTGGAGAAGGATTGTGTAAATGTATTTTATTCTTCGACCTCACAAGCTCTAGAACTTACTTGTTGAACTCTTGAGGTGAAATCCTAGATAAGCACATTACCGAGGAAATAATTTGGGTCATCTTTGGACCGCTTGTTCTTATCGGGCCTACCTTGATTCATTATATCCCTAGTATACCTTGTTGAGCCTATTTATACCGTTTTCTTTGCTACCTACATCTTTAGCCTAGCTTATTCATTAATCTCCAACTTTTCACCCCTCACTCATAAGCACGTTAGTCATTCTAAGACGCCCATTAAGTTATGTTAGAATATGGGAGGAAGGGTGGTGTTGTGAAAATCTATGTGTTGTGTTTTATTTGTGAAAAAATAAAAAAAAATAAAAAAATAAAAATGGGAGTGTTCTGTACCCTCTTTACTCTTTTTGTGACATTGAGGACAATGTTAATTTTAAGTTTGGGGGTAGGGGAGTTTTATTTAAAAAAGAGAGAGAAAAAAGTTGAAAAGAAAATATATATGCTACATCCTTAGTTTATGTAAGAAAGAAATTAAAATTGAGGGTGTAGTAACTCAAAAAAAAAAAAAAAGATGGTAAAAGAAAGTAAAGATCAAGTTTGGGGGTTTTACTTGGGTGTGTTATTTGAGCTCTTCTAAGGTCCTAGAATTATTGATGTGTTTAAAGGGTGATTTGAGCCAAAATATTATCTCATATCCTATCTTTACCCTAGCCTAACATTACAAGCTTAAAAATTCCTATTGATCCTAGGTCATGTATTGATCTACATTAGTGGATAGAGTTTTAAAAAGTGAGCCTATGGAGTTTGAAACTCTTATTTAGAGATTCTTTGCATAGGGCATGCTTGCATGGTCCTATTTAGATTGACAATGATGATATAGCACCTAGCCATTCACACACACACACAAGAAAGGTCCAATTGGAGAAGAAACAATCTTTTGAATTTAAATTCAACACTTGGTTGGAAATTGTGTTTTTCTTTAAGCTATTTTTTGTAATTCAATTTTTGAGGAAATACTTCTTGAGAATTCACCCACAAAATTCACTATTTGTTTTTTGGATCTTTTTGTTTTGCTCGAGAACTAGCAAAATAGTAAGTTTGGGAGTATGATAATTCAATTATAAATAGAGTTATTTCACTATTTTTGTACATTTAAAGTGGCTAGTTTTCAAGATTTCTAGCTTATTTTATTTTATTTTACTTTATTTTAAATTTTAATGAATTTACTTTTCATTTTAGATTTATTTTAATTTATTTTAGTTTATTTACTTTTGTTTTAGTAATTTCTATTTTAATTTTCATTTCAAAATAATTAATGTTCTCATTTCTGTAATAGTGGGGCTTAAGTGAAAAGTTTGACATAATATCAAATCAAAAGTACAAAGAAAAATGAGCCAAAACTATAACAAAACAGTCTTTTTATAACTCTTAATTATAGCATTTTTAAAGAAACGTTATTAAATATTTTCTTGGTTATATATAATAACGTTTCAAAATAGTTATAATATGTATATATATAAGTTAATGAAAGTTTGGTTAGTTTAATGTATATATATTTAAATATATACTACTGTACACATTAAAATGCTCATCTTTTTGCTCTACTTCCTGCTCATGTTTCCCCAAATTTCCAAATTCTCGCCGCTCCATTAATGGTGCCCGCTCTTATGCCAAAACTCGGTTACCGAAAGAGCTTCGCATTTCTCTATTTCTGTATGTTCTCCATTTATGAAAATTTTTCCCCCAAATCTCATGGTGCCCGCTCGCTCATTTTGCCCCCTTTTTGTGTTTTTTGGTCTGTTTATACTAACCTTTCTAATTCCCATACGAACAAGGCACAAAAAGCCCTAAATTCCCTCTTCCCCTATTCTGTCGAAGAGCCTTTTGTTTTTTCTCTTGCTTGGACGGGCTTTTCTGTTCCTTAATGAGCCTCCTCAGCCTCTATGACACCTCCACGCCGCTCAACCCCAATTGCCTTTCCAACACCACCTCGTCGCCGCCTCAAGAGCAATGCGTTCTTTGGCCTTCCTTGGCGTCCGCAATCGAGTCCAACATCGTCTGGGACAGCATCTACTTCATCCGGATCGCCCAGTGTGGCTACGAGTACGTGCAGTCTTATGCCTTCTTGCCTCTGCTTCCCCTTTGCATCTCCTTCTTCTCGCGAACAGGTTTGCCCCCAAAGATTTGGGCTTTCGATTGTACCTAATTAGAAATTTGGCAATTCTCTTCGTTTCATTCGACGTTGTGTTTTAATGGCGGATTTCTGTTTCAGTCCATTGGTTCCAGTTATAGGACAAAAATAAAAAACGTTCTGAGGATTACGTTTGTGCATATTTTCTCCCAATCCGTAGATCTGATTGCTTGTGATTTTGAAGGAAATTTTTGTTAATCTTTTATGTTATTGATTTCCCAATCCATAGTTTCTGTAGATCTGATTGCTTGTGATATTGCTTTTAAATAGTTATTGCAATATGAAGGGCGTTTCTTGTAGTTTCTGTCTTTTTTTTTTTTGCGCTTTCTTAACAAATGTGTGGAAACAGAGTATGAGTGATTTTGGACTTTGATCTTTTTATGCAATTCTCAATCAAGGTTAGTATTTACATGTAAATTACATGAGAAACTCTCTAAATTTTCGGAACAATTTGGTTTCCGATATTGTGAATCGATGTTTTTTATATATCATCATAATATAAACTTTTGCTAATCATGAATATTATTCATGAGAATGGACCTTGCTTTGCTTTTCTTTCTTTTATCTTTTTCTCTAAAAGAATTTGTTTCTGAATCTGCAGGCAATGCTTTCCATAAAGAAGGGTGCATATCTTTTGAAATGTGGAAGAAGAGGGAAGCCCAAGTTTTGTTCTTTCCAGCTTTCTACGGTAGGCATGTTACAATTCAAGAATTAAGAAGACTCTTTGTGAGTTAATCATGAGACATATTATTTTGGTGTAGTACTAGCAGATCATTTTGTTAGTCAAACATCCAATTTGATGTCATCCAACATGGACAATTTCATGAAAAACTAATTTCTTAGATGTTCATATATTTTTCTTTGGTTTGTCACAACAAAGCTAGCACTATGCTCTTCCACATTGCCTTTTTTTAGAAAGCTAAAATGTTTAGCTTCATTATGGGCCTCTATTGATTAAAGCTTTCAAAGATTTTCCTTTTTCCTTGATTGTTCTAATTTGGAAGGATGTCATGGGTCGTTAGTACTTTCTGGTCTCTAGTTATTTTTCTTTGATGCTTTGTTCTTACTTTTGTATTGTTCTCCAAGTTTTAATGAAGATTTCTTATTAAAAAAAGAGAGAGATTAGCCAATATGAACAATTTTATGAAATACTTTTTCAAATATTCATTCAAGTTCCTTTGGTTGGTCAGAATCTCAATACAAGTTTGTTGGGTTTGAAAGCCAGATCCACTGGCTAGTTGGACAGTCAAGGGTACTACCTCATGAAAAGTACCATTCCATTGTTGGTACTTTGTGTTTTAAAACTAATTTCTTAGATACGGAAACTTTGTAAGCAAACATTAAATGGTTGGTGTAACAAGTCTTACACTTCACCCTAATTGTTACTTTTGATTTACACTGATTAAGCCGAAAAATCTTGCTTTGGCTTCAGCAAAAAGCACAAGACTTAATGCGTAAAGTTAAAGGCGCATACTTGGTGTAGTCAGCAGGGATAATATGTGTTTGGAGGCCATGGATCCTTATGTCGAGTGATTTTTAATGGTGTGATAATTGTTGGTTGCCGGTTTATGCAAAAACTCTTGGCATATTGGTGTATAAACTATGTTCATAAGTGACCTTATATGGAGAATTGGCTTATTGAAAGTGAAGTGAGAACTTTATATTATGCTAAAGTGATGCTAAACCTTGGTAGCAAACTATGTCATAGTCTAGGATAATGCTTCATAAGGAGACGACGAGGGCCATTACACATTTCTGAGCCTACTATGCGCGAAATTGAATAAGGGGGATATGTCGCCGGAGAAGGTGATCTCTAGGTGCCAAGATGCGAACAATAGGTTGGTTTTCTTTGAGGGGTGTAACTATGCGTTTGATTTGGAGGATTTGTTGGAATGGAATTGATTTGCAGAGGCTTATATTTATGATTAGTTTTGGTTTTGCTAATTTGCTTGTTTTGGTTTGGGTTTTCTTTGCTCTTTTGCTATTTTGTTTTGCTTTACTTTGCTGAACAGTTTTATGCAGGAGTTGTCACTAGGTTTTTTCCTTTCTTTCTTCTTATTTTTCTTTACGATTTGATCTTTTTTTTTGGTAGTCAATTTCTAAATTGCTTAGGGTTTAAATGAATTTTGATGTTGATTGCTGTAGTGCCGTCAAAAAACCATAGATTTTGTGGCCTCTTGTAAGAGTAAGAATGGGGAAAAGCCTTGCACCCTTCACGTCCGTCACAAATGTCTCTTGAACAGGTTAGATTTAGCGACAAATTGGTAGTTTTTAATGCAATTAGGTAGTTTTTAATACAAGTTTGAGACTAAATTTTTTGCCTAGTGCATCATTGAAGCCATGTTTCCTCTAACTCACTGCAAAACATATGTGGATGTGGCTATGTAGTTGTGAATGGTGTAACTAGTCCTTACTTTATTTACAAGTTAAATGGTGGAAGTTTTAGCTGAATTAGATTATTGTTTTGATAGTGGATCACTTTCTTACATGTTAAATAATGGAAATGACTTTTTTGTTGAAGCATTTTGTCAAGATTGAAGGATTTACTTCACCATTGCACTTAGACGTTTTGGATACTTTGATATCTCTAGCTATTCCTTTGTTTTCTTTACTTGTTTTGAATGTTAAGGTTTTGGACATTGTATGAATTATGTTGTAGACGTAATTTTATTGCCAACTTAGTAGATACTGATAACAATTGATATGTTGAATGTTTTTATGTTTTAATTTGAATGTTCTTATTTAGATATAAGATGTTACTTGGAATCACCATTTATTTGAATGAATTCAAAAGTATATCAATAGTAATTTTAAAAAGCTATAAAAGTATGAATATAACAAGGAAAAAAAGTTATTAATCTGTATCGTAGCCATGCTAAATAGCTGTAAGAGGTTGAAAATAACTTGTCTTAAACGCTTTAATACCTTAATTCTATAGCGCTTTCCATAACTCTCCTAGAACGCTATGTTTTCTTAGGATTTTTAATAGCGTCTGATGTCCTACCGCTTCACAAAAAGCTATTGCTAGTGATTAATTGCGTTTTTGGTAAACTATTGATATTAATATTTGTTGTAGTGCAAATTGAAAAGATAAAGTTGAAATGGATCAAAAATATCAAGGGAATTAAAATTGGGAATTAAAGTTGAAATGGGTCAAAAAATAAAGGAGATGCATTAATAAGGCTTTATGCCATTTTTGTGAAAAAAAAGAAAAAAAAGGAGAGCTAGCACGTTCTGGGAAATCCAGAGAGCAAGAAAGAAGAAGAAAAAAATGAGTTGTATCCAGAGAGAGATTTTTCCAACCTTCTTTACCCTGTGGAACGTACCTGAAGGAGGAAAGGAGGAGAACAAGGATTCAAACTCTCTTCAGTTGAACTTTCTTTTACTTTCTCCTACTCTCTGTAATCTTTAATTTCTCTCTAATTTGTTATTTGTTGAACAATGGAACGTATTGAGCAATTGGATTTTATGAACTTAGTTATGAACTAAGTTGTGTAACACCCTGAAGAATTAAATGAGATTAATTAAGGTAATTGAGATTTATTAGTGTGCCTAATTTGAATTAATTGATTAATCATTGATTTTAAATGTTTCTGATGTGTAAATTTAAATATTATTACGAAAATTAAATATTTTCAGTAATTATATTTTTACCCAGAAGTGTGTATGAGCACATTTCTAGACTGTTATTTTAAATATTTGGATACTTATTTTTTCTTTTCTTTTTCCTTTTTCTTTTTCTTCTTTTTTTTCCCTTCCCTTCCTTTCCCGTGGGCTGCCCAACCACAGACCCATCTCTCTCTCTTTCCTTTCTTTCTTTTCTCTCTCTCTCTCCTCTGGTTCCTCTCACGCCCGAGCACCTCTCTCTCTTTCTCTCCATTTTCTTCCACGCCGGTTGTCTCTCTCTCTCCTTTTCTGGCCGTTTCTCCCTCCCTCTTTTTCTCTCTCTCGGCAGCTCTTGGCCGAGAGCCACAAACAAAAAAAAAAGAGAAAAAAACGAAAATGAGAGGATTTGAAGGAAAAACGAGTTTCAATCACTTTGAGGTAAGGATTTCTTGAAAACCCATACTCGGATTTGAATTATTGGTTTGAGAATTTAGAATTTTGGTTAGATTTGAATAATTTCGAGTTAGGGTTTGGATTTGAACAATTGTAGTTGAAATTGATTGGAATTTGGGGGTTTTTAGTTATTGGACTTGTTTAGTTGATTGTAAACTAATTTTGATGGATTCTGGAGAATTATATTGAAATTGAACTTGATTTGTAGGTTTGGCACTTTTCATATTTATGTTGGCATGTTGCCGAAATTTCTTCAGAAAGTTGTTTTTTGTAAAATTGAAATTAAATAGGAAACCAAACCTATGAATTGGATTTCGATCTTTAAAGAACCCCCAAACTGATTATGAAAATCGGTTGTGAAACTTGGATTTGAGTCAAGGCACACTAATAGGAAATCTTGGTTAGTAATGAGAATTGATCCTAAAGTGTTGTTTGTATCAGTGTTAGCTGAGGATTCAGACTGAATGAGCTTGTGGAAGTGGAAGCCGGAAAAAGGGCAACGCTAGTCCCAGGTTTGATAGTGCGAGGTACGATTTCTATCCCTTTTCCTTGTGAGGCTGTTTTCAAAAAGGATTTTGGCATTGAAAATGTTTTAAACAAAGGGGTTGGTTTGCGAAAAAAACTCTTTAAAAACTATGGCTTGTTTAGTTCATGGAATCCATGGCTTGTCCTGTCCATAGAATCCATAGCTTGTTTAGTCATGGAACCTCATGGCTTGCCCAGTCATGGGGCCCGCAGCTTGAGTAGTTCGTGGGGTCATATTAACGATTTCATAAGGTTAAATGAATGATTTCTTAAGATAAGAGATCTTGTGAACCGGTAAGAATATATTGCTGTAAATCTAGTTAGGATACGGAGAGTGCATCCTCGGGGGCAAAACCCGAAACTCGGTCCGGGTAGGCGAGGCACTTGGCAGGTGAGTAATTTGTACTAATTACTTGCTGATGCCTGTAATACGGTTATTTTCAGTTATATTTCCTTTGAGAAAAAAGGATGTGAGGTTCCGGCTGCTTGTCGGAACTGAATGTCTTATTTTATTTATTTATTCATGTATTTATTCATTGCTCATTTATTATTCATTTAATTATATAGTCATTTCAAACTATATCCTACTGGGCTTTTTGTTCACATTTTATGTTTTAAATGTATTAAACCCCTCCTAGGAGATTCTAGGAGCGGTGCACAGTAGCTGGATATTTGTTACGGAGTAGCTGAGTTTGCTGCTGTTGGAACAAGAGAGGACTGTGTTCACCCTCTGACATAAATGTAAGGAATCGAGAATTCTATAAACTCATGTAATATTTGGATTTACTAGACTGTGGTTGATGTCTGTTGTAATTGATTATTTACATGTTCATGTATGTACAATGCCATATATCTTGTGGGTGGAGCCCTGTGTGTTGTCAGAGGCTCGGGATTTAGAAATTTATATTATATTTTAATGGAGTTAAGTAGGGCTCATTTGGAAAGCTGCTTTATTAACTCCTAATTGAGCTCCACGTCACCCACCCCGTTTGGGGGGGGGGTTGTAGCTACGTTATTAATGGAACTAAGATTGTAAGAAAGATGGTTTGCTTATGGAATGTTTGCTGAATTTATTCCTGTTATCTATGTGTGTTGATTGATTATTTCTATTTTTTACTGGCCATCAATTATAGGATATTAGACTGAGATTA